GGTCACCAGCTATCACAGCTGACACCAAAATATCTTTAGGAAACTGCAGGAAAGCTGCCGACCACTTGAAGTGGTCGGCCAGCTACTTGCACTGGTCGACCGACCACCACAGGTGGTCTGCAAGGAGACCAAGTGGTCGACAAGGGGGGAGAGGTGGTCTACACCAAGAAAGCAAAGTGGTGGCATGGCTGCCGACCACCAAGACCAGTTGGCCGACCAGAAAACTGGCTGACAGGGAAGAAAAGTGGTTTTCAGGGAGAGAAACTGGTCTCCAACCCTTATTCCACCCTCCACGCAAGGAAAACAAGGTTTGTGCCAAAAACAAACCAAAAATGATGAAAGACGAAAGTCCGCAGGACAAGGCGCGTAGCCAGAAGCCTCGAAAACTAGTCTATGAGCGCAGAAAGTGGTCTACAGGAGAAAAGTAGTCTACGACTACAAAAAGTGGTCTACAGACCTCTATGTTTCTCTAGACCAAGGCAACAAGGCGTGGTTCGAAAACCAGGCCAAAAGGAGAACGTTAAGCGGTCTCGAGACAAGGTGCACACCCGAAGGCTCCAGAAACCGAAAACTAGTCTCCAAGAGGGAAAAGTGGTCTACGACCACAAAAAAGTGGTCTACAGACCTCTCTCTCCCTCCAAGGAAGGGAAAACAAGGTTTGGTTCAAAACCAAACCAAAAGGGAAACAAGACAAGGCGCTCGGCCAAAGGCTCTGAAAATCGAAAACTGGCCTACCAAAGGGAAAAGTGGTCTACGACCACAAAAGGTGGTCTATAGACCTCTCTCTCCGTCCAGGCAAAGTCAACAAGGCCTGGTCCACAAACCAAGCCAAAACACAAAGAGTTTAGAGGCCCTGAGGCAAGGCACTCAGCCGAAAACTCCGGAAACTCGAAACGAGCACAAATAAGAAATATCACCAAGCGCTCAATCGATGACGTCTGAGTCTTAAGGTCGGTCAAAAATGGGGTGTCTACAGTATAGATGTAATAATACAATTGTATAAATAATAACAAGTAAAGATAAACATTAACGAACATGATAATATTATACAGCGAAATGATTAATCAAGCAGAAGCATTTTTATCAAATAGATGACAATAATAATAAGCACATCGCAAAATCATTCAAAAGTATAATCACAATTGTTATCAATTATAGTTCTTATATTATTTAGTAAGAAGTCAATTCTAGGTGATTCCGCATGGAATGCCATACCTACCCAACACTCCAAGCTTGGCTTAGGCAAACCGATTATGGAAAATGATAGACTAATTCTCATTAAGATGAATGTATGAGAAAAGCTCATATATATACAAAATACAAGTAACTAGATATCTTTAACAAGCTAACAAACTTACTAACTGACTAGCAAAGTTACTAACTGACTAACTAGATATTTCTATTCAAGCTAGATATTTTCCTTCAGACGTGCATCAATAGAGGTAGCTCTTGATAGTGATGACTTAACATGCCCCTACAAACCCATGGGGGAAGACACCATGAGTTTGTGTTTAAGGTACTGAAACCGAGAGACAGACAACGGTTTGGTGAAAATGTCGGCCAATTGATCGACAGTGGGAACATAATGAAGAGAAAGACATTTAGCAAGCACTTGTTCACGAACAAAATGGCAATCGACTTCAATATGCTTGGATCGGGAATGAAACACCAGATTGGATGCCAAAGCAAAAGCAGGCAGATTATCACACCAGAGCATAGGCACAATAGGAGAAGGCACAAACAAGTCACCAAATAACATACAGAGCCAACTAACTTCAACAGTAGCATGGGCTAAGCCCTATATTCAGCCTCGGTGGAAGAACGAGAGATAGTGGCCTGTTTCTTGGCAGACCAAGAAACAAGATTAGAGCCCAAAAAGACACAGTGGCCAGATGTGGACTTACAATCAATAGTGTCGCCAGCCCAGTTTGAATCAGAAAAAACATGAATATCAAAGGTGCTTGGCGTATATGTGAGACCATGAGAGAGTGTAACCTTAACAAAGCGAAGCAAATGTTTAACAGCTGAGAAATCACTATTGATAGGTGCATGCATCTGCTGACAAGCTTGATTGACATCCAAAGAGAGATCAAGACGAGTGATTGTCAAGTATTGTAAAGCCCCAACAAAAGTACGATAGAGAGAAGGATTAGAAAAAAGAAGATCGGAAGTAAGAGAGAGACCAAGCTTAACTGAAATGGGAGATGGGCAAGGCTTACAATCATCCAACCCAGCTTTGTGAATGATATCCTGAGTATATTGTTGTTGAGAAAGGAAATATGGTGTATTAGAGGCTTGAACAGAGATCCCAAGAAAATAAGACAAATTTCCTAATTTTTTCATAGAGAAAGCAAGATGCATTTGAGTAACCAAGGTTTGAATATGGGAGGGATCACTACCGGTGAGCAAGATATCATCAACATAAACCACTAAAATGGTAATCGAATGAGGGGTTTTGTGAATGAAAAGAGGAATCACAATGATTATTATGAAAACCTTGAGAGAGTAAGAAGGTAGAAAATGTAGAATACCAAGCACGCGGGGCTTGTTTAAGCCCATACAAGGCCTTATGAAGCTTACACACATGGGTAAAAGAGGAAGAATCAACAAAACAAGGAGGTTGTGTCATGAAAACCTCTTCTTCAAGCTTACCATGAAGGAAAGCATTGGATATATCCAACTGTTTGAGTGGCCAGTGATGATGTAAGGCAAGGCAAAGAATAATTCGGATTGTAGGAAGCTTGGCAACTGGACTGAAAGTCTCCTGAAAATCAATGCCTTCTTGTTAGAGGTAGCCTTTAGCAACAAGACGAGCCTTATACCGAGCAATCGAACCATCAAAGTTACGTTTGATCTTAAAGACCCATTTACACCCAATTTGATTTTAATGAGAAAGTAAGGGAACTAAGGACCAGGTGTGCTGCTTTTGTAAAGCTCCAAACTCTTCTTCCATAGCCTTAAACCAAATAGGAGAGGTAAGGGCTGCTTGGTGAGTGGAAGGTTCAGAATTAGTGTATAAAGAAAAAGAAAGACTAAGAGAAGTAGAAGGACCAGAAGATTTGGACCGAGTGATCACAAGATGAAGATTAGTAGAGGAAGAAGAAGGAAGAGGGGGAAGGTCAATGTGTATGGAGTGAATAGGATAGGTATGGAGAGGTGGAGGACTGTATATAGTAGAGGTAGGAGGCTGAATAATAGAGGGAACTTGTTCTGAGGAGAACACAGCAGAGGGCAAGATTTTGGGCACAGTAGCAGAGGGTAAACCTATAGCTGGAGACTGAGGCAACTAGGAAGCAGATGGCAAACCAGATGGAGGCAGAGCAGCAACAGGTGGTAGCGCTGGAAGCTGAGACTAAGTAGTGGGCAGAGAAGATAAAACCAGAGCAGCATATGGCAGCACTGGAAGCTGAGACCAAGCAGTAGACAGTGAAGACAGAGCTGGCAGCACTGGAAGCTGAAACTGAGTAGTAGGCAGGGAAGAGAGAGCTGTAGCTGGTACATAAGAGGGCTGATGAACAAGTGGAGAAGCCCAAAAGAAAGTCTGAATATCTCCCGAAGAGGAAGGTTGAGATAAAGTACTAAAAAAAGAAGAAACAAAAGACATAGTATGCTCATGAAAAATCACATGTCTAAACAGATAAAGTTTACCAGATTTAGGATCAAAACATCTATAGCCCTTAGCAAATGGATGAAATCCCAAAAACACACAAGACACAGATCTAGGATAAAGTTTACATGCACTATATGGTTAAAGCCAAGGAAAGCATTAACAACAAAATACTCTAAAGAGAGAATAATCTGGGATAGCATTAAAAAGCACCTCATAAGAAGATTTATTAGCAAGAATAGAAGAAGGCATCCTGTTAATAAGAAAGGTAGCAGTAGCAACTGCATCAAACCAAAAATGTAATGGAAGAGAAGCATGATGAATCAAAGCAATAGAAGTTTCAATAATGTGTCTATGCTTGCGCTCAGCCACACCATTTTAAGCTGAGGTATAAGGACAGAAATGTTGATGAACAATCCTATTATTTAAGAGAAAAGCTTGCATTTTATTATTGAAATACTCAATACCACCATTAGTGCGAAGAACTTGAAAAGAAGTAAAAAATTGCTTCTCAACACAAGATTTGAATTTAACAAATTTAGCAAAGACCTCACTCTTGTAAGCTAAAGGATAGAGCCAAGTGAAGCGGCTAAAATCATCCACAAAATCACATAAAACTTGAAGCCAGATGTAGATTTGTTAAAAGGACCCAAACATCACTATGAATTAAAGACAAAGGTTGTTTGACAGTAGAATTTGACAATTGAAATGGCAATCTGTGGCTTTTAGAAATATAACATTTTGAATAGGAATCAGCAACATCAGTCTTATTAGGTTTACAAGAAAAATGCTTCTGTTGAAAAGAGAATTTCTGATAAGAAGGATGGCCTAATCTATGATGCCACATTTCGACAGAAACAATTTTATTCAAAGCATGAAAATTAGCTTGAGGCACAGCAGGTGAATGCATGTGAGACTGAAAATGATATAAGCTATTAGTGTGGGAACCTTGATGAAGAATTCTCTTTAATTTCTTGTCCTGAATCAGAAAAGTAGAAGCATCAAAAATAATGTTGCAATCATTGTCTTTGGCAAGTTGAAGAACGAAGAGAAGATTAGAGGAAATAGAAGGAGAATGCAAGATATTATTGAGATGAAAAGAGAAATTAGGCGTAGGTAAAATACCTTGACCAGTGTGATGAATAAAAACAGACTGGCCATTACTAACAGTAATACGATCAGTACCTGGATAGGCATGATAGAGATTGAAATTGTTCAAATCATTGGTCATATTATCAGTGGTAGCCGAATCCAGATACCAAGGCATGGAAGAGGAAGCGGAGGAAATGATGGACTGAGTTGGAAGAGAAGAAGAAGCCACAAAGGCTTTAGAGTTAGACATAGACTGGGAAGAAGATTGAACATGAGGTTGATATTGTGCATCCAACCGATGTCAGTAATCAAATGCTATGTGGCCAAAGACACCACAAATTGGACAAATTGGTCCATTACACCCTCTGCCTCTGGAAAAGAATCGACCACAGGATTGCTGAGAAAATCGACCTCCTCTTCCTCCTTTAGAGAAATAGAGACCTTGTGAACCTCGAAAATATCCAGAAGAACCAATCTGATTTGAACGAGAGCCTTGAGCAGCAGAGAAAACAACATTAGGTTGCTCAATAGGGGATAATTTGTGCGTTTTGAGTTCAACATGAATCGATTCGGAACAAAGCAAGGCACACAATTCATCCATGGAAATTCCTTCTGATCGTGCATGAATAGCAGTCTTAAATGAGTCATACTCGTCGAGAAGACCATTCAATGTGATTAACACAAGATCTTCATCTTCAACTATAGCAGATGCAAGTGCTAACTGATTTGACAATTCCTTGATCTGAGTCAAATACTCCTCCATGGATGCACCTTTCTTGGACACAGTATTCAACTTATTTTTGAGTTGATGAATATGTGAAGTAGAGAGAATGATGAATCTTTTGATCAAAGCATTCCAAATTTCATAACAGTGTTGAAACTGTATGACAGTGGAATAGATTAAAGAAGATAGAGTTGCTGTAAGACAACTAAGCAAATGTGCATCTATGAGATCCCACTAAACTCGTGTTGGATTAGATACTTTAGATCCAGAAGAGTCCTTGATCTTTGCTAGTGGACATGGAATCGTTCCATCAACATATCCAAGCAAACCAGTAGCTCTTAAGATATTTTGGATTTGGTTCCTCCAAATCAAAAAAATTGGAGCATTGAGCTTCACTGTTACGAATGAGGACAGATTGGAGATTAGAAGTGTCAAATTTGGAGGCAGGATAGTTAACGAAGATGAAGAAACTGAGGCTAAAGGATCAGCCATTGGATTCAAGAATCGATGCTTGTTTGAGCTTATTTCAGCTTTGATACCATGTGGAAAATGATAGACTAATTCTCATTAAGATGAATGTATGAGCAGAGCTCATATATATACAAAATACAAGTAACTAGATATCTTTAACTAACTAACAAACTTACTAACTAACTAAATAGATATTTCTATTCAAGCTAGATGTTTTCCTTCACACGTGCATCGTTAGAGGTAGCTCTTGGTAGTGATGACTTAACACTGATACCCTTTTATGCTCATCATTCCAGATGCTCCACTCCTAAGGTTATGTACCCAGGTTGTGTTATCTTGGAATACAAGATAGTCATAACCTGTTGTGACTACAAGAATTCTCATTTGTGTTCTGGTCTGCCACAGGAATTCTCATTTGTGCCACAAGCATTCTCATTTGTGTTCTGCAAACCCGATCTGCTACAGAAATTCGCATCTGTGCCACAAGCATTCTCATTTTTGTTCTGCAAGACCATTGCACGGCTGACATAAAGGACCACGTTCTAAACCTAAGCTAACTTGACTACTGTGACACAACTTACGCGATACTTAACTAAAAGGGAACACATCCCACCATCATTTCATTACTCAACAAACCAATTCAACAATCCTTTCAAATCATTACGAGTGAACGCAAATCCGATACCACCCGATTAAGTTTCCCCTTCTTAAGTTCATTATGTTTTAGGTTAGAACAATGGATAATCACCACAATGGTAACCAAAGCTAATCATGAAGCAACTAAGGTATGATAAAATAATTTCACAAAATAAGCATATATGATATCACAAAACTAAAACACGCAAGAAATATGGCATAGAGTTGATAATCCACAATTAAGAACACTTTCACACATAGATACATTCTGTCAAAACTTTGAGAAATTATTTAGACTATTAAAACACCTTGTTTTAGACTTTATCAAAATTCATACAAGCTATACATACACCAAATAATTCATTATTTAAACAGATTTTAATTTCATAAAGATTTGTTATTTTAATAATTTCTAAATCTGTAGGAATAGCTTACCGAACAAATAACATATCAATGCATTACAATGTTATACTATCTATCCAACATGTAATATCACATATACCATCATTTATAAATAGAGTATAAGAACAAAACAAGATAGAACAAAAAAGAGGAGAAATGAAGGGTTTAAAGGAGTTCTTACGATGGTTAGGTTGTTAGGGATTTATTTTCCTACTTCAGTTTATGATTCTAACCGTAGGATATGACTGTCTTAACTCCATGATCATCTTGTTGAAATTTTACGTTGATCAGACACAATCTCACCGTTGATCTTCAATTTATTTTTAAATTTGTCGGTTGTTAATCACTGTCTTGGAGTTGAAATTTACATAATCAAATCGGAAATTCTTAGTCAACTTCATGGGAATGAATAGGTTGCCCTACCAATGTCTTTGTAAAATTGTTTAACTCATGGTTGAGTTTTGTGTTGTTATGTTCTAAGCTGACCAGTACTACTCCAAGGGTCATCCACCTTTGTCTTGTGACTCTAGGAAAGATGATGAGAAGTAAGAACAAATGGAAGCTAGGTCTATGTTGGAACAATTGGACAAAATAGAGGAAGTGTTAGGAAGCATAATGAAAGCTATGGGAAACTGCAAGATTAGAAGAAAAAGTAAAGTGTTAAGTCCAAGAAGGAATTGTAGAATGTCTAAAAAGTGGAATGTTAATTGTTAGTAAAATTTCAAGAGGCAAGTAGTTTTAAACAAGATATAAGTTCATCCCCAAAATGTTCAATTTGCTACTAGTACTATACGGTAGTGTTATCAAATTTTGGGAGTGTGTTTCAAATGTGGAAAGGTTGAGCGTTTGATGACGAATTATTCGAAAAAATAATTATAATGATAAATTTTAAGGAGACTTCAAGTCAGTTAATTATTTTAAAGATTAGTACCTAACCCAATTGTTCAGAATTGTTCAGTGAGGGAGTACTCTAAACATGTGTATAGAGTTTTGAGTTTATTATATTATATATGTTCAGTGAGGGAGTACTCTAAACATGTGTATAGAGTTTTGAGTTTATTATATTATATATGTTTTGGTTATGTGTATCTTTCCTGTCTAATGTTTGATAGACTTAGAATACATTTACACCCGAGACTACTAAGATTATTAGAATATGACCAAGACTTAAATATATTGAACAGAAGTTCACTTCTAGTGCTAATCAAAAGAGTTAATACATAATAGAAAGCAAGAGAATAAATTTCGTTAAAGTTATAAACGCATATTTCTTAAAGAAGTTCATGGGACAAAGAATTTGAATTGACTAAATTGCAAAGAATTGAGAAAGACAATAGTTTTAAAATAATTTGATGATAGCTTTGATGTCACTTGAAGGTTGAAATAAGTTAACATATATATATATATATTTATTTGTATATGCACAAGAGGATTGGATGAGTGCGGAAATAATGAATCGTAAATTGTTCACGCTAATTTAGTACTAGCCAACAAAGGAATTAAAGAATGTGTTTGGGAGTTTGGAGGTAGGAGAGATAAATAAGAATGTTTTTTATAAATGAAAGAACTATTGAGTTGAAATTGGTATTCTTGTATTTGATTGATTGGCTATTGGAGAATGTAGGACTCAATTGTATAAAGAGTTGAACTTAATTTAAGGTCATTAAAAATAATTAGAATGAGATTGCTTCAAAATACCATGACCACTATTTCGAGTATCTAAACTATATGTGAGAAAAATGTTTATATATTAAGTGACTCAAGATCCGTCCTTTCATTTCGACTCGTTTGATTATAAATGAGTCAATTGTTGGAATTAATATTATGTGATAAGTGTTTCCTCATCACCCAGAAGATTATATTATTTGGAAATGTTATACCGTGAATTTGACTCAATGCTTTTGATATGAATTATTGGAATGTGATGTTGAGTATAAGGTTGAGTAAGATAAGTGAATGTTGATCATACGCCTAAGCAAGCTGTCTATGACTTCTGAAGATAAATGACCTTTCTTATGGAATCAATGGAGTAAATTCCCCCACCTATTCGAATCGGTGGCTTATGAATTGTATGGGGATAAATATCCCAATTATTGTGGCCAAAGAATTTGTGGAGCAAGAATTCGGATTAGTTATCAATGTTATATCAAAGACATAATTTAATTTGAGGACTTTAAGTGACTATCCGCAATAGAATGTTGTGATTTATTTGAAACAAAAGAGTCTGATTATGAACATCATAACAACTTCGTAAAGCTATTTTCAGTTATACGTATTTCCTGAATGATATGATATGATCTGTTTTATGAAATGCTTTATTATGTATGAATGAATGATTGTCCAAATTTCTGAAATGTATTTGTGGCATCCTTAGCATCATCTAATATTTCTCATCTATTACCGAGTACTGGAGGTTCCGTCAAGGAACGTATCTACTCTATATCTATAATCTGCTACCTGGTACCCGAGGTTCCATTATGGTACTGATTATTATAGCCACTACCTGCTCTGTATCTGTTTTGTTAACGTTAATGGATATACCACATATATCTGTGAATTCTGAATGTGAATATGAATCTGTTTTTTATCTGAAATCTATTTTCTGAATATGTTATGGACATCATTTATTAAAATCTTTACTTTGTTGTTGTATCAATGAGTTGAAGTATGTGAATTGCATGATCAATGTGTTTTATGTACAGATGATGAGAGGTCAATTTTGAGATCCATTTGTGTTATTGGTCAGTACCAAATAGCTTTGGATGACAATATAAACTATGATGAAATTACCAATTGGGATTATTGACCAACAAATAAATGAAATGAGTTGAACTCCTATGATGAGAATCAAATAGAAAAGATGTTACTTGGGTACAAAAATTAAAAAGAGAAAAAGATTTGTGGTTGATTTATGATACAAGCGTCTTAAGTTTGGAGGACCAAACTTTCTAAGGGGAGAGGCTGTGACAACCCCATTACGTATTATATTTGGCATTTAATTATTTAAGGAGACTTGGATTTTAATTAGTTGTTATTCTGATTTAATTTGGGAATTACGAGGATTATGCGTCCCAATCGGTACGTGATTTTAATAATGATTTATTTTGGAATTAGAAATTGACGGTCCAAATGGCTTAAGGAAGTGAAATTAACTAGTTAAATCAGTTTGATTTCAAGTATTGACCCATTTGGGAGCTTAATTAAATTAATTACGTTAGAAGGTTTGAGAAATTCTGATTACCATGAATTAAATTCAATTATGAGGTGTCTAATTTGAGTATGTAAGTTATTGAGAAGAATCTTGAGTTTGATCCGAAACTGAAGGCTGTAGTGACTTGAAAAACCAAAATTGATGATGACAATAAGTCTGATTTGATATCTGGAGCCGTTTGGGAGTTTGATTAAAATTCTGATTTGGTTTGGTAAAAATAAAATATCATTAATTGGGCCTTAATTAAAGTAAATTCGGCTAATTAATTTATGTGGGATTTCAAATTAGTTATAAATAATTAAGTTAAAGATTTAATTTGAGATTAATTAGAAGAACTAAGCGATAATCGTAATTACTTAGGCTTAAAAAGTGATCAATTAAGTTAATATGTAATTAGTTCTCCTACTCAAAATTTATTAAAATACTAGTGTATGCCTAAGAGAATTCTAGAAAACCTTATTGGTTCTAGCTTTTGTATATGAGAAGGGAATGTATTGTAATCAAACTTTGTGCTGGAAGCTCACTGACATAGCCGAGAGAGAGAGAGAGAGAGAGAGAGAGAGAGAGAGCACTAAGAGTGTGTGTGTGTGTGTGTGTGTGTGAGAGAGAGAGAGAGAGAGAGAGGGTTCAAGTCAGCACATATTTGCTAGAAATGCAGAAGTAGAGCTAAGGAAAAGCAAGGGAAAATAAAGAAAATAGAAAAGACTCAAGAAATTCAACCATTGAAGACTTAAGGTAAGAAATTGAAACTTAGATTTTATAAATAATTTAG